TTTACCAACACAAAAGATGATGCCTGGCATAGTTCAGTCAATACAGTTCATTGAAGTTTGCTATGACTCACCATTCTGTGATGTCCTTTTACATACCTGTTACTACCACAAGGGGGCAGTATTCACGTCAACCACATCTGAACACGTTTAGTTCCCATGGTACAGTTTTCTTCCCCAGTAGTTGATTTTATAGAACATGATTTTAATTATAATTCATAAAGTGTCATTTTATCTCTAATACTGATGTTTTCAACACAGTTGCCGCTCTCTATTGTGTGTGTGACTGGTCCGCAAAAGTGCATCATGGTACCAACCCTGTCACACACCTGCATTTGTGCCAGGTGCATGTGATGGGTTGACACAATGATGTCCTCATTCCAGGTACTTGCATGTGGGTGTATCTGCATGTGAGCAGACCCGCCTGGAGACGGATACGGGGCACTCCTAAGACCATCAGAAAACACTTGTTTCTGATGTTCTTAGTTGACTCCTGTGAAAGGGTCATTCAATACCCACTTCAAAAAGTGGGGTTGAGAACCATTACTCAACAGAAAAGGGCTGGGATGTAGCCCACTGGCATTCACAGGCTTCCTGAGCTTGGGTGACTGGTCTAAGGTCACATGGTTGCCTAGAAAATAGGCGATGGGACTGTGAATGAGAGGGAAGCACTGAAAGAAAAGACTGAGCCGGCACACCCCACCCCACCCCACCCCCAGGCCAGAAGGCTAGCTCCCTTGGCCCTGGGCACGACTCACGCTCCAGACTGTCCTCTCGAGCTCTGAGCGCACGCTCTCTGTCCTGCAGTTGTTTTTCCTTCAACTTGAGCTCACTCAGCACAGGGCTGGAGACCTGCAGCTTGGAAGGCTCCCCTAAGCGCTGGCCTCTCCTCTCTAGATGTCTCCTTTGTTCTTCCGCAACCAAGTCAGCTATCAAAGGACTCTCCAGGATTTCTTCCACTGAAGGTCGGTGGTAATCCTGGAGAGAGTGTGGCAGGCAGATCACACACAGAACAGTCATCTTAAGAAAAGCAGTTACGTTACAAGGATAAACTAGACAAAAGGCAGTTACTATATCCAGAAATATCTGAAAAAACAAGTTCACTGGCCACAGGTTCTGGGTCTGCAGGTTTTAACTTAGCTGTTCCCCTTTCTCACCCCACCCTTCAAGGAGGCTCAGGCCCTGCAGGACAGCACACGCTGCACACACACCGGGGTCTGCTCAGGGGAAGTGGACCTGCTTCCCTAAACACTGTTGAGGAGGACACCCTCATCAGCCTTCAACCCTGTCACACTCACACACTCACACTCCCTCACCAGCCTTCACCCCTGTCACACACACCCACACCCACACACCCTCCCCCGCCTTCAACCCTGTCACCCACTCACCCACGCACCCCCCCACCAGCCCTCACCCCTCTCACACGCCCCCCCCCCCCCCCACCACCCGTCACCCCTGTCATACTCACACAGCCTCACCAGCCTTCACCCCTGTCACACACACCCACACCCACACACCCTCCCCCGCCTTCAACCCTGTCACCCACTCACCCACGCACCCCCCCACCAGCCCTCACCCCTCTCACACGCCCCCCCCCCCCCCCACCACCCGTCACCCCTGTCATACTCACACAGCCTCACCAGCCTTCACCCCTGTCACACACACCCACACCCACACACCCTCCCCCGCCTTCAACCCTGTCACCCACTCACCCACGCACCCCCCCACCAGCCCTCACCCCTCTCACACGCCCCCCCCCCCCCCCACCACCCGTCACCCCTGTCATACTCACACAGCCTCACCAGCCTTCACCCCTGTCACACACACCCACACCCACACACCCTCCCCCGCCTTCAACCCTGTCACCCACTCACCCACGCACCCCCCCACCAGCCCTCACCCCTCTCACACGCCCCCCCCCCCCCCCACCACCCGTCACCCCTGTCATACTCACACAGCCTCACCAGCCTTCACCCCTGTCACACACACCCACACCCACACACCCTCCCCCGCCTTCAACCCTGTCACCCACTCACCCACGCACCCCCCCACCAGCCCTCACCCCTCTCACACGCCCCCCCCCCCCCCCACCACCCGTCACCCCTGTCATACTCACACAGCCTCACCAGCCTTCACCCCTGTCACACACACCCACACCCACACACCCTCCCCCGCCTTCAACCCTGTCACCCACTCACCCACGCACCCCCCCACCAGCCCTCACCCCTCTCACACGCCCCCCCCCCCCCCCACCACCCGTCACCCCTGTCATACTCACACAGCCTCACCAGCCTTCACCCCTGTCACACACACCCACACCCACACACCCTCCCCCGCCTTCAACCCTGTCACCCACTCACCCACGCACCCCCCCACCAGCCCTCACCCCTCTCACACGCCCCCCCCCCCCCCCACCACCCGTCACCCCTGTCATACTCACACAGCCTCACCAGCCTTCACCCCTGTCACACACACCCACACCCACACACCCTCCCCCGCCTTCAACCCTGTCACCCACTCACCCACGCACCCCCCCACCAGCCCTCACCCCTCTCACACGCCCCCCCCCCCCCCCACCACCCGTCACCCCTGTCATACTCACACAGCCTCACCAGCCTTCACCCCTGTCACACACACCCACACCCACACACCCTCCCCCGCCTTCAACCCTGTCACCCACTCACCCACGCACCCCCCCACCAGCCCTCACCCCTCTCACACGCCCCCCCCCCCCCCCACCACCCGTCACCCCTGTCATACTCACACAGCCTCACCAGCCTTCACCCCTGTCACACACACCCACACCCACACACCCTCCCCCGCCTTCAACCCTGTCACCCACTCACCCACGCACCCCCCCACCAGCCCTCACCCCTCTCACACGCCCCCCCCCCCCCCCACCACCCGTCACCCCTGTCATACTCACACAGCCTCACCAGCCTTCACCCCTGTCACACACACCCACACCCACACACCCTCCCCCGCCTTCAACCCTGTCACCCACTCACCCACGCACCCCCCCACCAGCCCTCACCCCTCTCACACGCCCCCCCCCCCCCCCACCACCCGTCACCCCTGTCATACTCACACAGCCTCACCAGCCTTCACCCCTGTCACACACACCCACACCCACACACCCTCCCCCGCCTTCAACCCTGTCACCCACTCACCCACGCACCCCCCCACCAGCCCTCACCCCTCTCACACGCCCCCCCCCCCCCCCACCACCCGTCACCCCTGTCATACTCACACAGCCTCACCAGCCTTCACCCCTGTCACACACACCCACACCCACACACCCTCCCCCGCCTTCAACCCTGTCACCCACTCACCCACGCACCCCCCCACCAGCCCTCACCCCTCTCACACGCCCCCCCCCCCCCCCACCCCCCACCCCCCGCACACACACACACACACACACACACACACACACACTCACACACACTCCCTTTCACTTTTTTCTCAGGCCACAACAGAACATCTGCCTCCCATCCCATGGCCCAGAAAACCTTCTGTCAGTTTATTTTCCTTCTGCTCTGTTCCCCCTTCTCCCATATTCTGGTCTCTGATTTCTTAAATGAGAAGGAGAGTAATAGGCCCCTCCCCTTAGCACCGCTACTCTTGATTTTCAACTTCTTTCAATCTTTCCATGGCAGGGGAAACAGAAAGTGAGGTTCAAAGTCTGCTCGGGATGTTTCCATGCCTGTAAGCTCACCTGTGCTAACAATTTAGCAAGGGAGGCCAATGCTAGTCCTCATCAGTCTACAGCAACGATGCACCCAAAGTTTACCCAAGTGACTAAAGCAGACAGAGGGCAGCCTTGCAACCATTACCTTTAAATTCAGCATCCGAGTGATGATGTCATTCAACCCGTCAGAGTAGCGGTAGGGGATCCGCCTGAATCTCCCTTCTCTGATTTTCCCAGCTAACTCTTTCTGGTTGAAAGCTGTAAACGGAGGCCTGGGGTTTAAAACAAACAAATAAGAAAAGAGGAGAAGGAGAGAAGGGGAGGCAAGGGAGGAAAAGGAAGTTTAAAACATGTTGGCAGACAAGCCTGGCACTCTGTGTCCCAGCTGGACGCTCCTGTAGCTATGCTTGGAAGACAAGCCTGGCACTCTGTGTCCCAGCTGGACGCTCCTGTAGCTATGCTTGGAAGACAAGCCTGGCACTCTGTGTCCCAGCTGGACGTTCCTGTGGCTATGCTTGGAAGACAAGCCTGGCACTCTGTGTCCCAGCTGGACGCTCCTGTAGCTATGCTTGGAAGACAAGCCTGGCACTCTGTGTCCCAGCTGGACGCTCCTGTGGCTATGCTTGGCAGTTCCTGGGTGCTGCCTACATTTCGGGTTGAACAGCTTTGAGTTGGGGTCAGTCCCACATGCTCTGGATGTTCTGCAGTGCAGCACCTTCCACCTACTGTATCCAGGAGCTCAACCCAAACTGTCTCCCTGTCTGTCAGTGGGGAGCAAACTTCTCTTCTCCATCCCTGGAGAACCATGGTTCTGCGGAATGGCTTAGAGTGAAGGAGGAAACTTTCAAGACTCAGAGCCATATCCGTTCTCCAGACCCCAGACCTTTGCAGGGACCCCTGCTGCATGGATTCCATTCTTAATTTATACAAGCTGGGGTGCCTTGTTGTTTGCCATTTTTTTTTTTATTTCTTAATTTCATTTTACATTCCAACCACAGTTCTCCCTCCCATCCCTCCTCCCACCCCCCAAAGTGTTGTTGTTTTAACTTGTCTTCTACGTCAGTTTTAACAGGGCCCAGGGACAGGCGACCAGCAGAGTCAGCCTGAGCTCAGACGTTGTCTTCCCTACTCACATTAATGCACACAGCTCGTACAGCAGGCAGCCCAGCGACCAGATGTCCGACTTCTCATTGTAGGACAAGCGGCTCATTTGCTCCTAGAGGACAAGGCAACAAAGTGACAAGGAGTTGAGAGCTTGTTTTGTTTCAAGGTTTAAACATTTCAACCTGAGGACTGGGAAGTCAGCTTGCTTAGCAGAGTTTGCCTAGTGGGCACAACGTCTGGGTTGAATCCCAAGCACAAAAATAGCCAGGTGTGGTGGCTCACACCTTAATCTCAGCATTGGGAGGCAGAGGCAAAAGGATTCAAAATTCAATGATAGGGCTAGAGAGATGTCTCAGCAGTTAGGACTGGACACTCCTGCAGAGGGCCTGGTTTCATTCCCAGCACCCACATGGCAGACAGCTCACTACAATCTGTAACTCCAGTCCCCAGGCACTGCACACACAAATGGTGCACATACATGCAGGCTAAAAAGAAAAAAATCCAAAGTTATTTTCAGCTATATAACAAGTTCTAGGGTGACCCAGGTTGTATGAGTTACTGTAAAAGAAACAAACAAAAAAACCAAAACAAAGCCCACGATAAACCAATAAACTGAAAATAAAATGGAACCTCAAAAGTTTTCTTTGAAAATATTCAGAAAAATGTTAAATTTCCTATCTTTAGCGAAATTTTTCAGAATTTCATAACCAAAAGACTAATACAGGTTAGAATACAATAATAAAGATGGTGGCTTCCACTGTAGACTCATGTTTATAATGGCAAACGGGAATGATCTTGTCCTGGTAACTTTATCTCACACAATTCATTCAGTCATCTCATTTTCACAAACAAAAGGCTTATTGTGGGCTTAACACTAACAATTCAAAGGTGAGCACATGAGAGCTCTCCCCACTGTTCTCAAGGGAAGTAAACACCATTTTGTTTTGTTTACAGACAGGGGTCTCAGATCCTGAGTTCAGACACCTGTCTCAGCCTCAAGGTGGCTGGGACTACATACAGTTGTAGACACCGACTACAGATACTCCATTTTAACAATTTGGGGGGAGGGTTCGAGACAGGGTTTCTCTATGTAGCTTTGGAACCTATCCTGGCACTCGCTCTAGAGACTAGGCTGGCCTTGAACTCACAGAGATCCGCCTGACTCTGCCTCTCGAGTGCTGGGATTAAAGGCATGTGCCACCAACGCCCGGCCAGATTCTCCATTTTAAAAGTCAGAGGAACTGGCTGGTGGAACACACCAGTAATCCAGCACCCGAGAGGGACAGGCCAGAGGAGCAGGAGTTCAAGGCCAGCCTGGACTGCATGAGACTGTCTTAAAAATAAATAAATCAAAACAGGGGGCTAGAGAGATGGCTCCAGGGATCTGATGCCCTCTTCTGGCCTCCACAGGCAACACACACATTTTCTAAATCAAAATGAATGAATTATAGAAAAAAACTAGAGTAACCAAGACATACATTTAGTTCACATCTCTGTGTGTATGTATGTATGCACATACATACATATATATATATATACATATATATGTATATGTATATGTATATGGGTATAAAAATCTAATTTAACTATTCCTTTGCACATACACACTGCTTTGTTTTTTTCAGTCCACAGTTATACACCACAGCAGTGATTAACACCCTCCTCAGGCTAGCAGCAGTCTCCCAACGTTTGCCTCAGGGACACTGAATTCATCTTCTAGTCACAAGTGCAGGTGGGAAAGAAGGCACAAAAGAATTGTGCAGGTGTTAATGTCTTCATTTCCCTTTGTGATCGAGCTTTCTGTGTGGAATATGACACCATGGGAAAACCAGCCTGTTCTGAAAACAGAGTCACAAACTCACAAAGTAGAGTGCTGTCACAGCTCTAGCAGCATAACTATGTATCTATATCCAGAAAATCCTAGACATCTGTGTGAACTACTGAAAAAATCTCTGCTGAGATCTTAACACACTTACACAGCAATGCTGTCCCTTATGGACTCAAGGTTAGTTGTTGTCTTTTTTTTTTTTTGCTTTTGCTTTTGCTTTTTGAGACAGGGTCTCACTATGTAGTCTTAGCTGGCCTAGAACTCCCAGGCCAGGATGGGATTAAAGGCATGCCCTAACCTTGACATCTAATGACGGCTAAAAACTGTCATGCCCTTTCCTCAACAATTTCATCTTATGTTCTACAGTCGAATACTAAGGAACGAGGAATAACTGGACAGTGGTGGCGCACACTTTCAATCCCAGCACTCATAAGGCAGAGGCAGGTGAATCTCTGAGTTTGAGGCCAGCCTGGTCTACAGAGCAAGTTATAGGACAGCCAGGACTGTTACACAGAGAGATTCTGTCTTGAAAAAAAAAAAAAAAAAAAGAAAGAAAGAAAAAGAAAAGAAAAAAGAAGAAATGAGGAACAATTCATAAGTCCATACAAGGATACAGGGATATGCACAGAAGGGTGCACTGGGATGGTGAGACATCCCAATGCTCTCTGTAAATTCAGGCAAGGAGGCACAGAAATTGACACTGTAGAAACAGGATGCCCATGTGAGAAGGTCTGAAACTTAAACATTAGGTCATTGTGATGGTGAGCTGAGCACATGCATTTATCCCTGCCTCCAGTTTCTGCACTTGGGCCCAGGTCTCTGCATGTTAAAAAAAAAAAATACTCCGTAGGGAGTCTGGGGTCATGTGTTCAGGGTTGACACTTGGAAAACACTGTTGCTTTTAAATACTATTTCATCTTTGTAGCCCTAGAACTTAGCACACAGGGTCATTTAAAAACAAAACAAAAACTGGGCATGGAGACACACACCTTTTATCCCAGCAGAGGCAGGCAGATCTCTGTGAGTTCGAGGCCAGCTTGGTCTACATAGCGGGATCTAGGCCAGCCAGGGCTGTACAGAGAAACCCTGGGGCTGGGGGGAACCAGAGATGGCTCAGTGGTTAAGAGCACTTGTTGCTCTTGCAGAGGACCCAGGTTTCATTTCCAGCCCCCACATGACAGCTCACATCCATCTGTAACTCCAGTTCCAAAAAATCCAGTGCTGTCTTCTGACCCTCTCAGGCACCAGGCACACACACGTCACACTTAGATATGTATAGACAAAACACTCACACACATAAATAAATTTTTAACTTCTTCTAAGCTCTAGCTGAATACAGAGGAACTGAATGACCAGACAATCCCTTTGGGGCAGAAGGAGAGGCCAGTGGTTAAAAACTTGATGCTCTTCCAGAGGAGTAGATCAGTTCCCAGCCCTCATGTCAGGTGGCTCACAACTGCCTGGAACTCCAGCTTGAGTGTGTGGGGTGGGTGACTCCTTTCCCTCTTCCAGCCTCCACCAGCCATACACACAGCACACACTCACAAGACACACACACGTACACATAAATAATAAAATTTAAAAAGTATATATATCATATATAAAAGAACTTGAGCCCCGATGGGCGGTGGTGGTGCACACCTTTAACTCAGCACTCGGGAGGCAGAGGCAGACGGATCTCTGTGAGTTGGAGACCATCCTGGTCTACAGAGCAAGTTCCAGGATAGGCTCCAAAGCCACAGAGAAACCCTGTCTCCAAAAACAAAAACAAAAACAAAAACAAAAGAATTTGGGTTGTAGCTCAGTGGCAGAAGACTTGCCTAAAATACCTGAGAGCCCTGGGTCAATCCCTACTCCAGAGGAAAAAATAAAAACTTTAAGCTGTATTGTGAATTCTGGGCTACTGGATTTATTAGCAACCCAAGCCTCAGTTTCCTTGAATCTGAATGCTTCACCTAAGATATTAAAAAGTCTCTAAATTCTGAAATACTCACAGGAGACATGTAATAAGGTGTGCCAACAAACGTCTTTGCAAAACTCGAGTCGTGGTTTAATATTCTAGCTAGTCCAAAGTCCCCCAGCTTGACATTGTGTTTGCTGTCCAGGAAGACGTTGGCTGGCTTCAGATCCCGATGAAGCACGGTGTGGCCACCGTCACTCCTTCTGTGACACTCTTTCAGGGCCAGGGTCAGCTGAGTCATCACTCGAAGTACAAACTCTTCCTCTAAGTATTGTCTGGACCAAAAGCAATCACACATTTTACTATCCTGAATACAAACATTGTGAATGCAGGACAAGCTACTTAAGCTTTCAAAGTACAACATGGAAGTTAAATTATTGTTAGATATGAAATATGGGTATTGATTCATTAAGGATTTCTCAACATACCAGGCACCCACCAAATAAATACAAGAACATTCTATCATTTTATTAAGGGCTCTGTCCCCATTTTCAAAAGCATGTGCTTAACAACAAGAAAACTAGACCTTTCAGCGTTCAGGCAAAAGTCGCCACTTACCTATCCTTGGTCCCCTTTGTAATGACACTGGCCAGGTCCCCTCCTTCACAGTACTCCATCACGATGTACAGGGTTGTGTTGGTTCTGTCGATAATACGGTCATAGTAACGGACAATGTTTGGATGCTTCAGCTCCCGAAGCAAGTTCACCTCAGACACCAGCATCTGCTTCTCCGCCTCCGTCATGGAGCCATAGTCAAGCTCTTTCCACACCAGTATCTGAACACAATGTTTCCAAGATATGAGAATGTGTTATCCTTGGAGGCGGAAGAACGCAATTTCCAAACTTGGGGGGAAAAAGAACCAAACCCACTACCTCACATTTCAATAAAGACTACAACTCAAGGTCACTAGGGTGGTGAATACTGTCAGTCTGTCAGGATCTAAAATCACCTAGGAGAGGAGTGTGGACCGGAATGATCCGGGTGGGGCCCACGCTCAGTGGGGGTGGCACCACGAGGCCGAGTGGCCGGCGGCCTCGGGCTCCCCCACCGATGGCTCGCACCCTCGGTCCGGTTCGCCCTTCCTAGGCGGCTCCGGCCCGGGCCTCACCTTGCCT